TATTTAATATGTTCTCCAATGGGACATTAGATAGCGCTTCTTTGATAGATATGTCTCTTGTTAATATCAATTCAAGTGATTCATATAAGTTTATAAATTTTGGGTTAATTTCCTTCACTTTTCGATTTAAAATGAAATAGCTAGATCTTTTTGAAGGATATCTCTAAACTTTCTAATAGTTTCTCCATACATAACTCATTGTATTTTTTTTATCCTATGAATATTATTAACATTAGTGAATTTTTTTTACCGTGTGAATATTACTAACATCAGAGAATAATGTTTACAATATATAATCAATTAATGCTAAGTTATTATATTATAGTATTTTATTAATTTTAAGTGATTTAGTATTCTATCAATTAATGCTATCTCTATATTTTTGATAACTTATGAGTAAAATAATATGCAATTACTTTTATTTAGACTGTGATATTAAAGTTTAATCTATTAATATATTTTTCAAATTTCACGTTTTTTTATAAATTTGAACTTTTGAGGGTTAATTGAAAATTTTAAATTTTAGGGGGCTACTACTAATTTCCAATTTTTATATTTATTGTTTTAAGTTTTGAAAAGTAAAGATGTTTTGTGCAATTTTGAACTATTGAGGGTGTTTTGTGCAAATTTTGAAACTTTTTTGTTTTTTGACAATAATTCATGTTTTATAGTATGTTAGCTACTTATTATTTATTTACCTTTTTATTATCATTTAAACTCATTGGTATTTACATGCTATTATCTTTCTCTATCATCTCTGAGGCTTACTTGATACGACAAAGAGCTTCTTACGGTGGGGAAAGGGGGATCTATGTTCAGGTCTGATGATAATCTTAAAAATTAATCTATGTTCTTCGCAAGTTTTGAGGATGTTTTTTTATAATTTAAACTTTTGAGAGTGTTTCTATAATTTTTGAAATATTGAGGGTGTTAATTATAAAATTTAAATTATTTAGATGATACTGTTAATTTTTAATTTCATGTTTGTTATTTTAAGTTTTGATATGTGATTGTGTTTTGTGTAATTTTGTATATTTGAGCGTATTTGGTGCAATTTTTAAAACTTTTTGAGTTTTTTTGTTATTATTGTAATATTTCATGTAATTTACTAATCTTATATTTTAAAATTATTGAGCTATAGATAATTCACATGGGATTAAAATAGAATGTAATTATGATTATGATAAATTAAAATTTAAATAAAATATTTAAAAATGTGAAGGGTAATATTGACCAATGAAAGTGTTTTCTGAACTCCTACTTCTGTTGGAAGCATGATATATGATTTTAGCGGGAGACGCTCCTCGTGGCAGAGCCGCGGCTGGGCACCCACCCCTCATTGGACCACTTGTCCGTAATTCAATGGGGGAAAATAAGCTAATTTACCAACTACATACTCCTCTCCTGTATTTTCTACTACTTTGCATCGCAGCGGTCAGTGGGCTAAATTGTGCATATACCCTCAGCACAAGTAGATTTTGCACAATGACAACCTCTCATTTCAAAAACAATTAAAAATCAAATAATATCTCTTGAGTACAAATTTGCAAATTACCTAAAATCTCAAACACCTAACGTATGATTCTCTCAATATTCTTCGTTGAAATATTTTCTCTGGAGTATAGAATTGAGAAGATTTTTTACTCTAAACCTCTCAACTAACAAGCAAATAATTAAGTAAAAGTTGTCGGTGGAGGCTAGTGCATTTGCAGTACTATGCTAACTGAGCTAATAGAGCTTTAACAATCCATAAAAAATCTACTAATTTAATCGTGAACAAGCAAAAATAATTATCATCGCTATTAACCATGTTTCAATCACTTTCATATGAATTAATCTCTTTACATAGATTTAAATCAAAGCCCTCCATCGCAACCCTAACATGAATATTCGACAAAAAAAAAAATTGACTTAAAGGAACTAAATATTAATTAGAAAAAAAGTAAATGGATTAATTAGAATATAAAAAATAATAGAGAGAAATATAAATTCGTTCCTCAAATCTGAGAGCAAAGAAAATTGACCAATTAAAAAAGAAAGTGACTTTGTAAGGAAAAAAAATAATAACTAATGTTTGGTATGTGCATAACAAGGGTTGATAGCATATAATAGTTCTTGTGTAAAATATAATTATGAAAGGTGATCTATGCACAATTTTTATCCAACTGATTCAGTGTTGGGGAGGGGGTATGATTGGTAAATGAAGTTCTCTTTCCACATTCAATTTCGTTAGCAAGGACAGCTGGCAGCGAATTCGTCTCGGCTAGAATTCCTCTAGTTTTTAATACAAAAATGCTTTTTGACTCGCGAGTTGGGCAACTCGCGCCCAACTCGCAGTCACTGAGTAGGGGGTGGGCCCCACAGTTTTGTGGGGCCCACCCCCCTACTCAGTGACTGCGAGTTGGGCGCGAGTTGCCCAACTCGCGAGTCAAATAGCATGGCCCTTTTTAATATTCACTTTGTAAATGACTAAACTATCATGACCGCTCAATAGGTCACATGATAAAACCGTGTTACTTTTTCGTATGTTACTCTTTCGTGGGAGGACCTGATTAAAAGACAAATTGGTTCAAAAATAAATTTTCTAATCAAAATTTTCAACAACCACTCATGTAATCTGGCATGCGATGCTTATGTGACATATCTATAATGATGTGACAATAGTTAGCCTCATTCAAATCATTAAAAGGTGAATATTTTTAAATTAGAGTAAAAGAAAAGAGTGATTTAAAAAAAATGGGGTCGTCTTCTCCTTCTTCTATTAAATTGGGGGCTCTCAATTGTTAGAGAATATAGATTGATTATTCGAGCTCAAACAATAAAGAACCCCGGTTTGAAGGAATAAGGAGAAGAAGTCGCAAATGAAAAAAAACTAATTTTTTTTACCCTAATTTGAAAATCTCTCCCTCTAATGTGTTGAATGAGATTCGGTACAGTTGTCACGTCATCATAAATATGTCCCTTCAACGCATGTGACAGATCATTCAAGTGGCCGCCCGAAAAAAATCCCTCCTTTTCATACATAAGAACCTTCTTTGTTTCTCTTTTTTTAACATCGTATGGTATACATTTAGAGTTCTAAGCGGATTGCTACAAAGTAAATAAATCGAGATGAAAAATAATTAGATAAGGTTTTAATAACACATGATGGGAGTCAGCACAAGGAAGAGGACTGGCCGCTAAACTAAAACATTAAGAAACAAGATGAACAAAAAGAGAAAAAAGAGTAGGATTAAATGGGCTACAGTTGAAAATATATTTACCAATTATACTAACATTTCAGGTCTAGTGACGAAGTGGAGAATACCACGGCATTGTAATAACACCTCCTCCCTAGTTTAATCCGCAAAAGTCAGCCTATTTTATTTTAATGGATTAATAATGTGCGATCTAATCCCATCCGAAAATTTAATCCAAACATTACATATATTTTAAGAGAGAAAGGCTTATTACTCGGCAATAGTATCCCTTGTGAAAAGAGAGTGAACTTTAAAACAAAAGATTTTATTTTATAGAAAACAAAAGATTATAAAACATTTTATAAAATTAAAAAAAAACAAGGGGGCTATGTAATATTGCAAGATGATAATGCAAAACACTCAAACTGAAATGTAAACCTCTGTAGACTAAACATGATAATAGAACATTTAAAGGGTTATATAATAAAAAGGGTGTTTACATCAAAACGAACTAAACTTTTGCCCAAATTGATGGTTACCACCTACATTCTTTTGACAAAAACCACCTAAAATTGCTTACATGCTTTCAATGTCACACCAATCTATGTTTTTTTATCGTTACCACCTAAACTCTTATATCTCGTACCACCTAAAATTTTATCTCTCTTATGGTTACCACCTTAATGTTGATGGTTTAAATCACACAAGAAAAAAAGAAGGTAATAAGGACTGGGTTGATATGGGGGCCGCTCACTTTTCCGAATATCCGATTTGGAGTTGGGTTGTTCTTCTCTACACGTGTAACAACTCGTAAGAGGACGGAGACTGGTTCTCCCGTTGTTCCTCCAACGGCCAAGTCAACTACGTGCTTGAGTGGGAATATGAGAAAATGCAGCGGAAACGAGAAAAATGCTGATAAATTGCTTAACTTTGTATTTGGAATAGTTTTCCTTTTTATAGCTATGCAGGAGGGGTAGTCTAGTCTTTTTGGCCGAACCTGAGCTGGAGGCTTGAATCAGCGTCTATTTTACAGGTGTCGGTCGTGGATCGGCCACAGAATGTGCGCTGTCATTTCGTCATTAATGAGATGAGATAGGCGGTGCAAGAAGCTGGTATGGTCTGATGTGTCATTAATAGTGTCGGTGATGGAGAAATGATGGCGCCTGCCAAGCATTTAATGTGACGTCGACGCTCTGTTAGCAGGGAGGGGTTCGAGGTTGAAGTCATCTTTTGGCTTGTAATGAGGGGTGTCGAGAAGTAACACATTTCGAGTCCACCCCCACGAGGTTTCGAATAACTGGTTGAGTGGACTTGCAGCGAGTCGTCTTCAACAAGAGAACCGACAAATACCGCCCTTCAAGTCGACCTAAGGAGAAGCCAACTCGGCAAGTCGGCTAGGTCGGGATCCTAGCAGTTCTGAGTGTCAATTCAATTGAACAGTGCATGTCGGGGGACGCCTGTCCGTTGCTAGCAAAAGGGCCACAATTTGGCGACTGATAACAATATAACACTTACAAAACACAACTTGATATGTATACCACATTACCTTTATAAACTTTTAACATGAATTGTCTTATTTGGTAAGAAAATCACAATTACCACAAAAATTTTGAAATATGTACCAAACATAATCACACGAGACATTAGCTATAAAAATTAGATGGTTTTGATGTGAAAAAAAAAAAAAAAATAGATTGGTGTGATATTAAAAGCGTGCAAGTAATTTTAGATGGTTTTACTAAAAAAAATATAAGTGGTAACCATCAATTTGGATAAAAGTTTAGGTGGTTTTAATGGAAAAACCCTAAGAAAATACCATAATTTGCAGTTTGTAAAAGAGCCCTGTCTTTCGCCCCAAGCCTCTCCAAACCCTAACAAAAACCCTCATCCAAAACCCTAGAGGGGAAAACCAAGAGACCAAAAAAAGAGATGGAACACATAGCGGCAATGGAAGAAAAGCTGGTATCAGATCGATTGAGGAAGAAGCTCGAAGAAGTGAACGTTGCAGCTCAGAACCAGCTCCAACCCATCCAAGATCACGTCAATTTCAATCTTCAGGTTTAGTTTGTTTCAATCTTTTACCCAGTAAAAGAGCCTCCTTTGGCTTAATCCCTCACTATTTCCATCTGGGTCTTTGTTCATTTCTCTTAATTCCTCACTAATTCCCTTATATTCAATCAATTTCCGACACCCATTTTCACTTAATATTGTTTCGTCAATCCAGTAAAATTTACTTCTAAAAATGAAAATTTGCATGTGATTTTAAGTTTTTTAGGATATTTGTTAAGCTGTTTGTGATATTTGATTGAGGTCGAGTGTAATTCTTTGTTCATTTTTCTTTTCTAATAGAGATTGTGCAGTTATGTAGACCCATTAATTTCCAGCACCCTCTTTGATATAACCTTGTTACTCTTAAAATAATTATTTTTTTCAAAATAAGATGACGTGTGTGACCGTAAGAGATTTAAGAGATTTTTAAGTTATATGTGAAACTAGTGTGCATATTTTTTTCCGCTACAGAAATCCCGGTTTTAATTGCTACACAATTTTTTGAGCTGCTACAGTACCCCGCCTGCGCTACAGTGTTCCAGTGTGCTACTAGCATTTACTGTAGCATGGATAGCGAATTTTGTGTTCTCCCATTTATATAGATGAGTAGATTTGATGGAAATGAGAGTAGTTTATCTTTTGCGATCTAGAACATAGTATAAAGCTTCTAATAGAATTTGTGCAAATATGTTAATTGGAAATTGCAGAAAGCCTACTTCATGTGTGCATATGAGTGCTTTGATAGAAGGCAGAAGCAGGAGGCTATAAATAACTGTGTGGAGCATTGCAGTGTACCTGTTCTCAATGCTAACAATCTTGTGGAGACCGAAATGGCAAAATTTCAAGTATGACTGCTTTCTCTTCTATTTGTATTTTCTATATCCCATTATATAAGGTTTTTTCCCTTGGATGCTTGGTAGCTTTTCTGCAATTGATAATCACTACCTGTAAGCTTGAAAGGATTTTGATATTTCCTTGTTTGGAGTGACCAAGCTTTCAATTGAGCCTCTACCATTTTGGAACCTCTTTCTTTATCGGTTTGGACTTTGGAGAGATATATGGGGTATAAACTATAAACTTATATCCTGTATAATGGTTTGGGATTCCTTAATTATGCATTTGGGTTTCAGCTGTTTATTAAGCAATTTTTTTTTTGTTTTTTTTTTTGCAGCAGACAGTCTTACTACTCTATAATACTGTTCATCTTGGGACTATTTTTTCCTTTTGCTAGATGTTATATGTGATAGAAAAATTGGAAAAAATTATTTTCCCTTTCAATACTTCTAGAAAAATAAAGCAAAGATCACAAGTTGACTTGAGGGCACTCCAAAGAATCAGGTTGCATTTATCTCCTCAAGTACGACACATTGGTTATTTCATTCACTTCATAATGCTCAATATAAGCTTGAGATATTTCAGGCAAAGTTGAACAAGTTCAATAGTAAACTATGAGATGCTCTGGGGCTCAATTCTTCAGCATTCACTACAGCTATTAATGGTCATACATGTGTGCTATTCCTTTAGCAATATGTCCTAGAATTGCGCTAATTATTTGGTCTTGTTTATCATGCTGATGATATTATTTGAAGTTAGACTCGGTTACGGTGATATTTGATCACATTATTTTCTAGTTTAGGACATAATATTAAGTTTTCCGAGAAAAAAAATGAGACTTGTAATATGTTTACATAAATATCTCATTTTTGTATGAGGGTATTGAGGAAAAATGGATGTGCATAAAACATACCCCTTTATATAAAATGGAAAGGGGTGAGTTGGCTTTTTAAGCTTACAAATAGTTCGGCTTCCCTTTTCAAGATTAGAGACACCTGAATCAAACTTGATGTTGTCCTCAAAACTTGTGTTCTTGTGTTGATTTTGGGGCTTGCCAAATGCTGCTAGGCTCTCTACTGTACTGGTCCAAGAATTGGTCTTCAGGAGTTACATTAATTTCTCCACACTGAGTGTGTTTGATTTGCTTTTTTTATTTCATAGTCAAATCCACCTCGAAAACGTTCAATTTGATTTTTGAGTTGTTTTTGAGAGGTTTCATTAATCCATTGATTTGGTTTCAATTTTCTTCTTCCCATTCAATTTACTGCATATTTGTCCAAACAGACTGAACTTTGTCAATCTGTATGATTCTATTTTATGAAACCATTTGGAACCATTTTCTTCTGATTGATTTAACATTGTTCCATTGTGGAAAAAAAAGTTTTTCAACCATTGCATTATTCCTGGTTGTTTGATAAATTTTGGTGCTTACATGCTAGGAAAAAGGTGCAAGAAAAATCAAACAACATCTAGGCAACAATACAAGTCCTACTGAAACCACTATAGCTTTCATAGTTACGTGGATGCCCAATTTTGACTGTTCATGTAGAATCCTAGAAGTCAGCTAATGCGGTCCCTGCATATTAGTCTCTATTGACAGCTTGAAATAACACCCATCCATGCGGCTTAAATTCTAATTAATTAAGTTTTTGAAAAGTCTAACCACTTGGAACTTGAGAATACAAGGTGCACAAAAATAGCCTCCCCTTCGTAGTGGTTCATTCTTAATATATGGAGGGCTTGCAAATACACACGAATCTCATGATCCTGCCTGAGGTGGTTTCAATGAGTTCAAATCTCCTTGCTGATCAGGGAAATACCTTCAATTCGAGCAAATTTCCTTGTGAATGAAAATGATGTGACAAATTGACGCATCTAATGACAAACCCTTCAACAACTTGGGTCTCTATTCCTTCTAGAGCCGTCCAAAAAAAATCCTCAAAATAGTCTGATATTTCTCCTCGTCAGCTGGGAGTTTCATCTGACATTTTGAAGTCAACGGTGACATCTTTGTCTGCAGGATTTAATTTTTTACAGACTTGATATCCAAAGAGTGGAATCTGTAGCGCCTGTGTCATGTGTTACTAAGATATGCTTTAATTTAGTTTTGCAAATGGATACTACAGGGAAAAATTTATAACATATACTATGGAAATATAGGTGTTAATTCGTATGTAATTGATAAATTCTCTGTGAACATTTTATTTCCATTTGATTGAAAATTTCAACTCGTATTTCCTTGACAAGCATTTTGTTTGCGTACCCTTCCAGGAAAGAATGAACCGATCTCTAATGGTATGTCAAGACAAGTTCGAGGCAGCCAAACTCCAGCAAATAAAAACGGGTGCTATGAATGAGTTGGAGGCATGTGTAAATCTAGCTATTGAAGACCATGTTCGTTCCCTTCCCCATATTGCCGAACGCTTGAAGGCCTCCCTCTCCATCAACAACTGATCTAAATTTTGCAATGCATTTAATTTTTTAGCAAGAGAGATCATTGAGAAACTTTTAAGTGCTTACAGATTCAAAGCCTCGTTATATCCTACAATAATATTTCTTCTGTATCTTTAAATATTGTTGAGGATCAGTCATCAGTGATGAATCTGCCTCCAGTTTTATACCTTCCTGTATTTTAAGCATATTTGTCTACGGCATCTCCATTTTCAAAATGGAGAATTATTCAAGTGACTGGTTATTTTTTTAATAGGCGAGTCTTATATTCCTTTTAACCTGTACCCAGTTGTTCAAGTTCAAACTTTCATTCTCATATGACAAAGTGCCGGATGCTGAGCAAAGTTGTTTTCAACTTCCGTTCAAAATTTACATCCAGTGAAATGGTGAGGCGTAAGCGAAGTTGTTTTCAACTTCTGTTCGAACTTTACATCCAGAGAAATGGTGAGGTGTAAGCGAAGTTGTTTTCAACTTCCGTTCGAAATTTACATCCAGAGAAATGGTGAGGCGTAACGTCTTCCATATATCAAGATTCTCCAGCAGGAGTATCAATTGATCAAGAATTCTCCATAATGCACATACAGGGTGTCCGGAATCGCCAAAGGGCGATTTGCTAACATGACATCAAAGATGATAGATGCAATCATGACATCAAAGATGATAGATGCGGCACACGATGTTTATGACAACTGAAGATAGTAATCTTTATGGTATTACATACAAGAAGAGAAACATGAAAAGATTTCACAACTGCCAGAAAAATCCAGATACAAGTTTATTACAGATAACACTCAATTCTAAAACCACATCACCTTGCCACCAGAGACGCTTGGGTCGATATGCACAATCTGATACTATACTAAAATCTCTTGAAAAGGAAAACATCGCACAAATAACCCAGAGGATAGTTCCACATTTTTCCAGTCTAATTTAAAACCACTGGCGAACAAAAGGTAAAAACTGCCATTAAGATCTAGTTGAGGTTGCAGGTCCCGTCTCTGTTTTATTGTTGGCGTTCATCTCTTCAAACTTATCAATGGCAACTTGAAGCTCGTCGGTACCGCCAACGGCTCTCATGGTATAATAGTACACGCCAAGGACAAAACCCGATAGGCCACCAGCGACCACCAGATTCTTGGTCTTTGGAGCAAGGTTGCGAAACCCGGTGAATGTAGACATCTTGCAGTTATACAACTAATTCCTAATTATGAAAACAAGGGGATCGATTAGATTGTGACATTGAGCAGATAAAATCTGGCATATGCAGGCATCAGAAACTTTTCTCTTCGATAAAGCAAATGAATGAAACAAATTAAGGTCTTCTATTTCAATTGTATGCACAAACGCACACACGAACACGACAAGTAACCACCACAAATTACCACAACAATACATGAAACTTGTATTACATGAGAACTTTCAGTTCCCCAGTGAGCTTCAACCTAATTTATATATACTCTTCACAACATACCAAAAGAAGACTGACCATTTGAAAAGCAAAAACTATGGTGTGCAAATATAGGCTAACAAGTGAACAATAGTAGACAAATTTTTCTCTTGAAAAAGAAAATCATCAGATTCGTTGCAATTCGACTCAAATTCTGCTCTAAGGATGAGGTACCACCATCAGATGCCGGTCACCTATCTGCACTGGTACCAGTAATGGCCCCTGATAATTCCTCCGCAACATCCATAGGAATCCAAATTTTTTGAAGAATCTCAAGTCTTTCATAACTAATGAAGAACTGATATTTGTTTCAAAGCATTCCCAAAATTACCCATTATTTTAAGGTTACCTCAGACCAGGCTACTAGCTATATTCATGAAAAGGGCATGAAAATAAATATATTTACAAAGTGAATAGATTTAAAAGGACCTAAAGCTTCTGCTCAACTGGAAGGATACATACCAATCATATATACCGTAGGTTAAATATATCTTCTAAAGTTGTTTAGGCTCTCTCTTCCACCCCCAACCCCCACCCCTCTCCCCCAACTGAGCCGCGCAACATGCACACACACGCGCACACACACACTCCACAGAATAAACACAATAAATCGTCACAAAATTTTTTTTGGTGCGCACAAACCAAACATGTATATAACATCATCACTTATCACTATTGTCAGGAAGAATACAAGCTTCAATGCATGAAGATATAATTCATTCAAAGTAATAAGTAGAGCCTGCTGAAGCATAATCAAATATCCATCCAAAATAACTTCCATAAACTTAATGATTAGTGATCTAGATTTACTCCAAGGACAGATCTATGTGCCGGAAATGACATAAAATTCCTCTGGATTTTCTAAATAGGGGTATCTAATATCCAAATATTCAAGGGAAGAAGCCCACGTCCAGTTGTCAGCTCTTGAAGAAAATACTTGACGGTCAAATTGATGATAAGTTTTACTAGAAGTGTTCAGTCATCACCATAGCATTCCAACAGAGCTTGCTACACTGGCTAAATTATAGAAGATACATGGTAAAAACTAAAAATTCACACAGTGGCTAGACTGAAAATGATTAAAACTTGACAATGGAAAGGTACAACTTTTATAGATAAAGGAACCAATGATACGTAGGATTTTCCAACAATCACAACTTCAGGTAAGTTGCATGTTATTCGGTGCTTCTAAACAGAAAAAGGCTAAAGAGAACTTGATTAACCCTAGGGCTTCAAGTGAGCTAATTATTGTCCTCAATTTATCAAAATGAATCTGAAAAAGACCACATCTAAATTAAGAATCAGGTCGAGAAGGAGGCTTGTAGAAACGATTATACATCCTCCACCAGTTTTCAGAGGCTTCCTCTACGGTTCGATATGTCCAGATATGTGGCTTTGCTTTCTCTCTCTCTTCAAGAATCTCCTGAACTTCAGATGACCTTTTTGTTTTGAGACTCAAACAGTCAGCAAGGGCACTCCACTTTCCAAAACAAGTGTCAAATTCCCCATATCTGTAATATTGTTGCATTTGATGAAAGGGAGAATAGCAAAACCACAAAGCATCGAAGCACTTTGTGCAGGATAAATGGGGAGGCTGTTTGTTATGATTGTTGTTGGATGCTTCACCTTCCTTGTTATCCATTCCTAGAAACGGGGGCAAAAAAAAAAAAATCAGATTCGCTTGTACATTTTATATGTTAAAAGCTTTTCTTTATTCATATTTCTAACAAGAAATTAGTGGCGTATTGATTCTTATCTTGTTTTTATCATGGATCAAAGTTCAATGTGCCTCTACTTACTGGTTTCATCTTCTTACCTCGGTGTGTTAGACTTTCCTCATGACATTTTTTTTTAAAATGTGTTAAAGAATGTGTTTATTCATGTGAGAGGATAAGGTTGCTTCCATATTCTCTTTATTTTAAAAAAATGTGTTTATTTATGTGAGAGGGTAAGGTTCCTTCCATATTCTATTCTTTATTAGAATTAGAAACTTTACTCCACACATGACTGAGATGGGAATGCAATACGAGCATCTCCAACAATGATCTTAGGTTTTTCCTATATTTGAGGAGCAAATCTCTCATCCTAGAAAATAGGGAGCCAAATAATGAGCAAGTGCTCCAACACTGCTCCCCAAATGGCTCCCTATCTCATGTCCTAGACTAAATATAGGGAGTATGATGGGGGAAAGTTGTTCCAACAATGCTCTCTATGTTGATACTAAATGAGTCATTTCTTGTCTTTGATTTGGAATACCAAATCATAAGCCCTATATTTAGTCTTCATTATAGGGAGCTTGTTGGAGCCAAATTTTCCCCTCGAGCATCTCCAAGAGCCTCCCTATCTCATGTCCTTGACTAAATTTAGGGAGTATGAGAAGAGAATTTGGCTCCAACAAGCTCCCTATAATGAAGACTAAATATAAGGCTTATGATTTGGTATTCCAAATGAAAGACAAGAAATGACTCCCTATATCTAGTCTCAACATAAGGAGCATTGTTGGAGCAAATCCCCCCCCCCTCCTACTCCCTATATTTAGTCTAGGACATGAGATAGGGAGTCATTTGAGGAGCATTGTTAGAGCACTTGCTCATTATTTGGCTCCCTATTTTCTAGGATGAGAGATTTGCTCCTCAAATATAGGAAAACCTAAGATCATTGTTGGAGAGGCTCTGATTACTCCTTAAATTTACTCAAGGACATGAGATAGGGAGGCTCTTGGAGATGCTCGATATTGATCTAGATATGGGTATAGAAGGCTACAATAATTTAAATTTTTTTGAATATAAACTACTGTCATATTTACTCTTTCATTTAAAATATTATAACTAAAAGTTAAATAATTAAAACACCGAGGAAGAAACAATGATATAAGATAACACACTAGTATATTATACATGTTTATGTCAGCAAGCAAATCAACTCACATTTGCCTCATCCTATTTCCTCAATAGGTACCTAAAATCCAAGGATTCATGGCAATAATTAGCAAATTTTGTTGGATTTAATCTAATAAATCTATTTGTGGGCACATATGATTAAATAAATATGTATTGCTATCTTCCAGGATAACCCACTAAAGTGATCAATTAAGTTGGGTTAATTTGGTATTTAAATATAATCATGGGGTTATATGTGCAGATACCAAGTTGAAATTGTGATTTATTGAGGGGCTAAATTACAAAAGTATAATATCTATAAATAAGGGGTTATGGTCCCTAACCTAGGGTTACATTCTCTAATTCTCTACACCCCCATCTAGCTAGAGAAATTCGGATTTAGAGAAACCCTAAGGTTAGAAGATCAAAACCCATCTCAAGATCAAGCAATGGATTCAGGTATAAGCTTCCGCTCTTTTGATTATTGTTAATCTCTTTGAATTAATCATGGCTATATGGTTTTAGATCTCAAGTTTTATGATTCAGATCTAACAAGTGGTATCAGAGCCACCTTGATTAATTCTTAGGGATTTAAGTTTTATTGGGTTTTTGATCTTAAATCTCTGGTTAAAGATTCAGTTTTGTTCTCAGATGAACAGTAATGTTCGGTGAACAGTAGCAATTTTTTTTCGGATGAACAGTAAAGTATTTTTTGGATGAACGGTAACTGAAAAAAAATCCGGTGAACAGTACCTTTTTGGAATTTTTTGGATTTTCCTTTGATTTTTTCCTTCAATTTTTCTTGGATCTAGATCAAGAAATTTTTTCCGATTCTGGATCTGGTTTTGAAAATAAAAATCAAGGAATTTTTTGGGTTTGGCGGCGGCGGTTTCAGTTTGAAACCCTAAAGGTTCATGGCGAAAATTAAGGAGGTGGTTACCTCAAACGAACCTCGCGTTCGTTCGATTTTAACCGAGCTTCGCGCTCAGCGAACCTCGCGTTCGTTCTAAGGTGAACCTCGCGTTCAACTCAGGTGAGCGTCAAGCTCAATTTTAACGAACCTCGCGTTCGTTCTAAGGTGAACCTCGCGTTCAACTTAGGTGAGCGTCAAGCTCAATTTTTAACGAACCTCGCGTTCTTCTAAGGTGAACCTCGCGTCTTCAGACGAACCTCGCGTTCGTGCTTCAGACGAACCTCGCGTTCGTACTTCAGTCGAACCTCGCGTTCGTGCTTCAGTCAAACCTCGCGTTCGTGCTTCAGTCGAACCTCGCGTTCATCCTTTTTTAAACCTCGCGTTCGTTCACGAACCTCGCGTTCATCCTTTTTTAACGAACCTCGCGTTCGTTCACGAACCTCGCGTTCATCTTTTTTAACGGACCTCGCGTTCGTTCTCAAACGAACCTTGCGTTCGTGCTTAAGTGAGTCTCGTACTCAATACAGTCGAACCTCGCGTTCGAAGTTAAGGGAACTTCGTGTTCATTATGGTTAAGCCTCGGCTTTTCATGGGTCCACTTTGGTATACTTAATTTATTCAATTAAGTTATGGGCCCTAATTAAGCTGTGAGACCCCAATTAAGTTTTTGAAAATTCAGTTGATTTAAATTTTTTAATTTAAATCTAATTCGGTTTTTAATCAATTATTTAATTCAAATATTATGACACTAAGGTATTAAGGTTGTCTCTCACTCCAATTGATTAATTGAAACAAGAAGTTGCCAAAGTAACCTCTCTTGTGTAGATTGTTCATGAGGAATGTGAGATGTTTGTGTGTATGCTTTCGTGTAAATATTTAATCGGCCCAAAGGAAGGTTAATATTTATTTAGACTGTATACACATCTGCGATGATAAGCGTGTGACAATTATAAGGTTTACATGTGAATAATGAATCGATCCAAAGATAGTTTCATTATTTGACATGAGTTATTGTCAATGTTTGATCATTGCAACAAGGTATCACTTACAAGTTAATATTACTGTCCAAAGACTTGATATTAATGTTGTGCCGGTATCTTGGATGGGGATTGTCATTATTTGAATTTTATTGATTATGGTTATTGATGTGAGCATTTGTTGTTTTATTTCAGCTAATGCATCTGCTGCAACAATTTCTGCTAACATCAACTCAATTCCCATGCTAAATGGGACAAACTTCAAGGTTTGGAAAGAGAACATATTAATTGTTCTTGGCTGCATGGATCTTGACTATGCATTAAGAACTGAACAACCCCAACCTCTCAATGCGGATAGCACTCCTGATGCAAAGAAGGAGCATGAGAAGTGGGAGCGTTCAAATCGCATGAGTCTTATGATCATTAAGGGCGGCGTTCCGGAAGCCTTCAGGGGCATAGAATCCGAAGGGATTACTAAGGCTAAAGATTTCCTTGCCGAAATTGAAAAGCGTTTTGCGAAAAACGATAAGGTAGAAACAAGCACGCTTTTAGCTCGCTTGATTTCAATGAAGTATAAGGGCAAAGGAAATATCAGGGAGTACATTATGAAAATGTCTCATATTGCTTCAAAGCTTAAGGCACTTAAACTCGATCTTTGTGTCGAGTTATTAGTGCATCTAATTTTGTTGTCTCTTCCTGCACAGTTCAATCAATTTAAGGTCAGTTATAACTGTCAAAAGGAGAAATTGACTCTAAATGAGCTCATTTCATACTATGTGCAAGAAAAAGACAGGTTGAAGCAAGATAAGACAGAAAGTGCTCATTTGGCCTATGCCTCTAAGGATAAGGGCAAGAAAAGGAAGAATGATAAGGAAGCTGCTAAGGGTCCAGTTGAGAAGAAACAACATAAGGATAATCAGGGTTATTTCTTCTGTAAGAAGCCTGGACATGTAAAGAAGGACTGTACAAAATATCACGCCTGGCGTGATAATAAGGGTATGTTCCTTATTTTGGTCTGTTCTGAGGTTAATTTAGCTTCAGTACCTAGAAACACTTGGTGGTTAGACTCTGGTGCTACTACTCACATAAGTGTTTCTATGCAGGGTTGCATGAGCTACTGAAAGCCAAGTGATGTTGAAAGACATATCTTTGTGGGGGACGGACAATCGGTAGATGTGGAAGCAATTGGGCACTTTAGGTTGTTGTTAGGAACTGGTTATTATTTGGATTTGAAAGATACTTTTGTAGTTTCGTCTTTTAGACGGAATTTAATTTCTGTTTCTGTATTGGACAAATCAGGTTATTCTTGTTCATTTGAAAACAGTCAATTCAGTTTATCTTTTAATTCAAATGTTGTGGGAACCGGTTACTTAAGTACTTATGACAACCTATATTTGCTCGATACAATTGCTTCTTATAATGAATCCTTGCATGTGGAATCACGTGGTACTAAGCGTAAATTAAATAAGGAAAATTCGGCGACATTATGGCATAAGCGCTTAGGTCATATCTCAAAAGGTAGAGTTGAGCATCTTGTGTCTAATGGCATTTTGGATTCTCTTGATTTTTCGGACTTCGACGTATGTTTTGAATGTATCAAGGGAAAACAGACCAAAGTGAAGAGATTATGTGCCAACAGATCTTCGGATGTCTTAGAATTGATACATACGGATATTTGTGGGCCATTCCCTACGGAATCCTGAAATGGTCAACAATATTTTATATCATTCATAGACGATTACTCACGTTATGGGCACCTATATCTTATTCATGAAAAATCTGAGTCTCTGGACATGTTCAAAGCCTATAAAGCTGAAGTTAAGAATCAACTCAACAGAAGAATTAAAACCGTCAGATCTGATCGTGGTGGTGAGTACTACGGTAGATATGATGGTTCAGGTGAACAACGTCCAGGACCATTTGCTAGATACCTAGAGGAATGCGGTATCGTCCCACAGTACACCATGCCGGGTTCACCTAGCATGAATGGTGTAGCTGAAAGACGAAATAGGACTCTTAAGGATATGGTAAGAAGTATGATTGCTCATTCTTCTTTACCAGAGTCACTCTGGGGAGAAGCACTTAAGACAGCAGCTTACATTCTGAATAGAGTACCAAGTAAAGCAGTTGCTAAAACACCTTATGAGCTTTGGACTGGTCGAAAGCCCAGTTTAAAGCATTTACATATTTGGGGATGTCCAGCTGAGGCAAGGCCTTATAGGCCGAATGAAAAGAAATTGGACTCCAAAACAGTTAGCAGCTACTTTATTGGATACTCTGAACGCTTAAGAAATATTTTTGAGACGGGAACAACAATATTCTTTGAGGATGTTGAGTTTGGGGGGAGAAATAAGGTTAGAGACATTAGTTTTGAGGAGGAATTGGCTTCAGATCCAATCCATACAGTTACTTTTAGCAATATTCAGGTTCCTATACCTGTTGTTGCTCAAGAAGTAAATCCGGAACCTCAAGATGATAATGTTGAACAACTCCCTGTTCCAGAAGAACAAACTCAACAACCTCAAGAACCAGTGTCACTAAGAAGATCCACGAGAGAAAGGAGAAATGCTATTTCGGATGATTATATTGTATTTCTCCAAGAACATGAGGAAAGTAGTGGAATGTTAGAAGATGATCCAATCAACTTCTCTCAGGCCATGAAAAGTTCTAACTCTCAACAGTGGATTGATGCCATGAATGAAGAGTACAAGTCTATGCAAGACAATAAGGTTTGGGAACTTGTCCCATTACCAGAAGGTGCAAAACCAATTGGTTGTAAATGGATTTTTAAAACCAAGCGGGATGCAAACGGTAATGTGGAGAGGTATAAGGCACGTCTTGTGGCTAAAGGCTATACTCAAAAGGAAGGCATTGATTATACAGAGACTTTCTCTCCGGTTTCATCGAAAGACTCTTTCAGAATAATCATGGCACTTGTTGCTCATTATGATCTTGAGTTACATCAGATGGATGTTAAGACTGCATTTCTCAATGGAGACATTGATGAGATGATTTATATGGTGCAACCAGAAAACTTTGTGTCAGGAGACCCAAAGAATATGGTTTGCAAATTAAGGAAATCCATCTATGGACTCAAGCAAGCTCCTCGTCAATGGTATCATAAGTTTCAACAAATAGTTATCTCGTTCGGTTTTGAGATGAACATTGTTGATGACTGTGTATATCACAAGTTCAGTGGGAGTAAGTATATTTTTCTGGTTCTGTATGTCGATGACATCTTGCTTGTCACTAATGATATATGCATGTTGCACGAAACCAAGAGATTTCTATCAAAGAATTTTGAGATGAAAGATCTTGGGGACGCCTCTTTTATATTAGGGATCCAGATACATCGAGATCGCTCTCGGGGTATTCTTGGATTATCACAAAAGAGCTATATCGATAAGGTACTTAAAAGGTTTGGCATGCAAGATTGCAGACCAGGTGACACCCCTGTTGCTAAAGGAGACAAGTTTAGTCTCAATCAGTGCCCTAAAGGTAACCTTGAAATTCAGGAAATGCAGAAGATTCCTTATGCTTCGGCTGTAGGAAGTCTAATGTATGCTCAGGTATGTACGCGTCCGGATATTGCGTACATTGTTGGGATGTTAGGCAGATACTTAAGCAACCCTGGTATGGATCATTGGATAGCAGTCAAAAGGGTTATGAGGTATCTTCAGAAAACAAAAGATTACATGCTCACATACAGAAAATCAGAGAAATTAGAGGTCATTGGGTATTCGGACTCTGATTTTGCTGGATGCCAAGATAGCAGGAAGTCTACATCAGGCTACATTTATATGTTAGCAGGAGGAGCTATATCATGGAAAAGTGTCAAACAAACACTAGTAGCTTCCTCCACTATGGCAGCAGAATTTGTAGCTTGCTATGAGGCATCCAATCAGGGAATATGGCTGCGAAATTTTGTCACGGGACTGCGCATTTTGGAAAATGTTGAAAGACCACTAAGGTTATATTGTGACAATAAATCTGCAGTAATGTATTCCAATAACAACAGGAGCTCAACTAAGTCAAAACATATTGACATTAAGTTCCTGGTTGTGAAAGAAAGGGTACAGAGTGGACAGATATCCATAGAGCACATTGGGACAAACTCCATGATAGCTGATCCTCTTACTAAGGGATTGCCACCTAAGGTCTTTCATGAGCATACTGCTCATATGGGTGTGGTATTATTTGAGGATATTATGTTTTAGTGGGAGTTTGTATTTGTGGTGCTTTATGTTTGGTTGTATTGTCTGATCAGAATAAAGTATTCAGTTAAGACACTCTGTTACATTATGTTTGGTTTTGACCTCACTAAGGAGGACCAGTTAAAAATAGACATGTACTGATCACATTGCATGTAATTTTCATGCTGCACATCCATGATTGATCTATGTCATTTGATTGTATTGGTATATGTGACCATTGATGGGTCGAGTCACGATAAATGTGACGAAGGCCGCTTTGATCCTATATTGATATAGTCAATGGACGAGATTGTTCGGAAATACCTTTTCAGTGATAGCAATTTTTGAGCTCATAAGGTTATACACAATTTAAGGAATCATATGGTGCCCAAGTGGGAGATTGTTGGATTTAATCTAATAAATCTATTTGTGGGCACATATGATTAAATAAATGTGTATTGCTATCTTTCAGGATAACCCACTAAAGTGATCAATTAAGTTGGGTTAATTTGGTATTTAAATATAATCATGTGGTTATATGTGCAGATATCAGGTTGTAATTGTGATTTATTGAGGGGCTAAATTACAAAAGTACAACATCTATAAATAAGGGGTTATGGTCCCTAACCAAGGGTTACATTCTCTAATTCTCTACACCCCCATCTAGCTAGAGAAATTCGGATTTAGAGAAACCCTAAGGTTAGAAGATCAAAACTCATCTCAAGATCAAGCAATGGATTCAGGTATAAGCTTCCGCTCTTTTGATTATTGTTAATCTCTTTGAATTAATCATGGCTATATGGTTTTAGATCTCAAGTTTTATGATTCAGATCTAACAAATTTCTCCTTCAAAACAACCAACACAACAATGACACTACATTTTAACAACGAACAATCCATCCCCATTTAATACCGAAAAATTGCCTCGTGGCGCGTAGAAAGTAACATCCCCTCTAATCAAATGAAATTTCACCGCATCAAAACTTTTTTTTACACGGGCCAGGTTTTCCAGAGTCTTGATTCAACCCATGTAATCCAAAATGAAACCTAATGAACTTAGCACCATCACCCATTGTTTTTTTTTATTTAATTTTTAGCTGAGCCATGGTTTGTGTTTATTTTCCTTCTGCCTTTCAATTCAAAGGAAAAAAAAAGAGTATTCAAATCGAATCTAATCCGAGGCGATAATGAACCATGAACTCAATAATAAGTAAATAATAATTAATAAACAACGAGACACTTTTATTGTTTAGGGCGAAGCGTACCTGAGAGAGGGGGAAGGCGAGGATCGATTTTAGAGAGAGGTCGGCGGCTCCGAAGACCACATAAGCCGTTTAGAACCAGCCGGGGGTTATGTTGGATGTGGTTCGGATCCTGTAAGACCCGACCCGTTTTTAAATTTGCTTTCGGCTGTGCACTTCAATTAAACTGGGTAAGTGAGGCGCTTGTGTTTGGCAATCCTCACAAAACTGCATCAAGATTAAATCTAGCCCGGATTTCTTCTAAACTAGCTCTTATGTAAATCAAGGAGGATTTGTTTACAAAAGGACTACTTCGGAAGCTATTTTTTGGCCTGAGGAAAGTTGTGGCCAAACTAAGTCTTAATTTAAGGAATTGCCACACAAGTTATAAAGTTGATTCTAGGGAAAACTAGTTTAGTTGTGGATGCTCCGGTTCACGACTGAACCAATTTAGATGCTCAAAGTTAAACTGAAATAAACTGGGTCAGAAAAGACCAAAATTTGCCGATCGAAGAAACACTTTAAACCCGGACCAGAGTCAAACCTGATTCAGTTGTACATTGTCATTTCACTTGAGAGTTTTTTGAGAGTCGTAAAGGAGGGTAGAAGAGGAAAGTTTTACATACAATTGTTATTATTTTGTTCCCCTCCAAATCATGGTGTAGAGAAGGGAAGGGGAGGGGGGTTAATCATAGAAGATATTTGGCCCTCTATCGTCATGGATCAATGACGCAGCCATCACCGTTTGAACATTTACACTTACACTACTATGATGGACTTGTACGCTAAAGGCCATACATCGAATGTAGTTGAAGCTAACAAGCTTCTTGTGGAGATAGAAAATCATGGCGTCAGACCTAATGCAGTGACATATAGTATGTATCTACGAGGACTTTGTCAGATAATGAAGGCTGAGAGTGCTTGGGAATTTCTCAAGGACTTGAAGCGTAAAAGACTTGAGTAATGTTTCTGAAGCTCGGAATCTCTAATTGAGGGCAATTGATAACACACATATGTTGGGAATTTAACGCTGAAACCCCTAATGCAACAGAAACGCAGTATAGAAAAAAGTACACCAAGATTTAACGAGGTTCGGCAACTGCCTACGTCCTCGGGAGCCACACAGATAATTTCTTATTAATCAAACAAGAAATTACAATTTAGGAGCAGATCTCAAAACTGAGATTTCTCAAGTAAACACTGTAGCTACAGTGTTAATAATTAAAGGGTATGAACCCTTTCAATTCTCACTTGAGAATAAATGAATAACCCACAATATAAAAAACCCCTCTTTAATTTTCCTTTCAAAGGGAATACCAAACCCTTAATTAATTTCTCTCTCTCCTTTATAAATCTCCCCTTAACATCTAAAATCCCAAGTGCTGGAGAAAAGGGAAGAACGCCTCTGCGTTTTGGTCGCCGCCAGAGAAGAAATTGAAAGGGGGGGAGAAAAGCTCAACACCGAAAACCTAGGCTGGGGTTTTCTTTTATAGGCGGCGGAGGAGAGGACTGGCGACAGCCTGTCGCCAGCGCCAACTTCGAGCCGAACGCACAGTTGCTTCGACGCCAGCTTCGCACGAACGCAGAGGTCGCTTCGACACGAACGCAGAGCTCGAACAAAAAACACCGAGGTCGATGAACGCAGAGTTGAGGGGGTTCGAAACGCAGAGCTCGGGCTTCGAGCTTCGTCGGAGCTCGTCGGAGCTCGTCGGAGCTCCTCCGCCGTCGGAGGTTTGAATCCACCCCCAAAACTAACAATCTCCCACTTGGAGACCAAACCGACGCCGACGGGCTATCTCATCACTTACTTCCTGGAATCTTTTCCAGTTTCAACACGTCATCTTCCAACAGGGATCTGATGAAGTGGTACCGAAGCGCAATATGCTTCGTTCTAGAATGAAATGCTGAATTCTTCGCCAAGTGTATCGCACTCTGGCTATCACTGTGCAAAACATTCTTCTCCTGTTTGAATCCCAGCTCTGTCAACAAACCTTGAAGCCATATCATCTCTTTACTGGCTTCAGTCACTGCAACATACTCAGCTTCTGTAGTGGATAGGGTAACGATCTTCTGTACCTGTGACATCCAACTAACAGCTGTAGTTCCAACGGTGAATACATAGCCGGTGGTGCTTCTTCGGTGATCAACTTCGCCGCCAAAGTCTGCATCTACGTACCCTTGCACTTCTACCTCTCCCTTACCAAAGTGCAAACACTTCTGTGTGGTGCCTCGTAGATATCTCAGAATCCACTTGACCGCTTCCCAATGAGCTTTTCCTGGATTCGACATAAACCGGCTGACCACTCCCACTGCATGGCCAATATCTGGTCTCGTACAGACCATAGCATACATCAAGCTTCCGATAGCTGAGGCGTAAGGAACCTGAGCCATACTCTCTTTCTCTTCTTCTGACTGAGGAGACTGATCCTTTGATAAACGAAAATGGTTGGCCAAGGGTGTGCTCACAGGCTTGGCGTTGCCCATGTTAAATCTCTGCAAAACACGGTTGATGTACTCCGTCTGAGATAACTGTAAGAGACCTCTCTTCTTATCTCTCGTGATTTGCATTCCAAGGATCTTCTTCGCTGGACCCAAGTCCTTCATGTCAAACTCCTTTGACAGCTGCTGCTTCAAACTCTTGATATCTTTCATATCTGCTCCTGCAACCAACATATCATCAACATACAGCAGTAGGATGATATAGCTGGACTGATATCTTTTGAAGTAGCAACAGTGGTCGGCAACTTTCTGTACCACTGCCTTGGGGCTTGTTTCAGGCCATACAAGCTCTTCTTGAGTCTGCACACCAGGTTCTTCTTTTTTTCTTCTGAGAAACCTTCTGGCTGGTGCATGTATATCTCTTCTTCTAGATCTCCGTGAAGAAACGCCGTCTTCACGTCTAACTGCTCGAGATGAAGATCTTCAATTGCTACAATACTCATCACGGTCCTGATAGTATTTAGCTTCACCACGGGAGCGAAAATATCGGTGTAGTCAATTCCTTCCTTCTGCTGGAAACCTTTGACAACTAGCCGGGCTTTATATCTTCTGGAACCATCCTGCTCCTCTTTCACCCGGTACACCCATTTGTTGTGGAGTGCCTTCTTACCCGTGGGCAACTCAGCTAGTTCCCACGTCTGGTTTGATATGAGAGACTTCATCTCATCTTTCATTGCAAGCTCCCACTTGCTCGCATCTCCACACTGACAAGCTTCATCAAAGCTTTCAGGCTCCCCACCATCTGTCAACAACAGATAGTTCATGTATCTCCTGTTGGGTACAGGAGGACGAGAAGATCTTCTTAATATCGGAGCTGGTGCGTCGGGCTCCTGCGCACCATCTTGTCCAACAGGCTCTTCTTGCTGAGGACCCTCTGCATTGGGTTCTTCCGAGAGGTTACTCGGGACATCATCTGCATCTATAAATGTGGACTCGCTCTCTGAGTCGTCAGTCTTGTGCATGTCCTTGTACATCACCTTCTCGTTGAATATCACATCTCTGCTCCGGATCACCTTCTTGTTTTCGTTGTCCCAAATGCGGTAGCCGAACTCATCTTCACCATAGCCGATGAAAGTGCATTTCTTTGACTTGGGATCAAGCTTATTCCTGCCTTGATCACTAATATGCACGTAAGCTACACAACCGAAAACTTTAAGATGTGAGAGTTTTACCTCCTTTCCGCACCATACCTCCTCTGGTATTCTGTGCTCCAATGGAACCGATGGACCTCGGTTGATCAAGTAAGCTGCTGTGTTGACCGCTTCTGCCCAGAACTGCTTCGGTAGGCCTGATTGTACTCGAATGCTTCTGGCTCTCTCTGTCAACGTTCGGTTCATCCGCTCAGCTACACCATTTTGCTGAGGCGTGCCGGGCACGGTTCTCTCCATTCTGATCCCGTGCTCATAGCAGAACTTCTTGAATCCGGTGTCTTCATACTCACCGCCATTGTCGGTCCTGAGCTTCTTTATTCTCAGACCGGTCTCATTCTCGACCATAGCTTTCCATCTCCTGAAAGCCTCAAATACTTCTGACTTATGCTTCAGAAAGTAGACCCACACTTTCCGAGAGTGATCATCGATAAAAGTCACGAAGTAGTGTTTTCCACCAATGGACGCGGTGGTTGTTGGTCCCCACACATCTGAGTGAACGAGCTCTAGCTTCTGCTTCCTGGGGGTTCTGCCACTTGTCTGAAAGCTGACTCTCTTCTGCTTTCCAAGTATACATTCTTCACACATATCCATCTCCACTGACTGCAGTCCTGGGAGTTTTCCCTTTGTGTGCATAATCTTCATCCCCTTTTCACTCATATGACCGAGTCTCTGGTGCCACAGCTTTGAAGTCTCATTGCCTGCTGCAACTGAGATCAAACAACGTGCACCTGCTGTCATATACAGGGTACCAGTCTTCTTGCCTCGGGCAATCGTCATTGCGCCCTTTGAGATCTTCCAATCATCTCCATGGAAGGTCGTGGTATAACCTTCGCCAGCCAACTGGCCTACGGATATTAAATTCTTTCTCAGGTCGGGAATATGCCTGACATCCTTCAGCTCCCATACTGACCCGTTCAACTTAATTTTCACCACGCCTTTGCCCACAATAGCACACGGTTGATCATCACCAAGATATACGTATCCAAGTTTTCCGGGGGTATACTTCTCGAAGAATTCTTTCTGAGAAGTAGCGTGGAACGACGCTCCTGAATCTAACACCCAAGATTCCTCCTTGCTCTCCAAAGAGCATATCAATGCGTCGTCTCCTCCTGAAGTGGAGGTGACATTCACCTCTGCCTTCGCCTCCTTCTCCTTCTGTGCACTCTTGCACTGATTCTTGTAATGCCCGGTCTTTCCACAATTCCAACACTCGATAGCCTTCGAGCTGTTGCTTGGATTCCTTGATTTGGACCTCCTGTCCTTTGATCTACCTCTGAAGTTTGATTTTCCTCGTCCGTTACTCACTGCCGTGACTGTAGCGTTCCAACTCTCTGGTAGGGAAGACAAAAGTATCAACGCCCGGACTTCATCATCAAACTCAATCTCAACAGAACTCAATTGGGTTGTAACCGTATTAAGTTCATTGAGGTGTTGTGCTACTGACGCGCCTTCCGCCATTTTCAGATTGAATAACCGCCGCATCAAATGAACTTTGTTCGCGGCTGATGGCTTCTCATACATGTTTGAGAGTGCTGCCACAAGACTTCGCGGCTGATGGCTTCTCATACATGTTTGAGAGTGCTGCCATAAGACCTGCCGTGGTCTTCTCCTTCGCTATGTTGAACGCAACATAGCGAGTCAACGTCAATCTAATAACTCCGAG